ATGACAATTGCTTCATCTTCAACCGGGGGAATGGGAGAACCATAGACAATGCAGTGGGAGTGGCCTCTGGCTATTTAGACATGGCTCAGATGCTGGATTCCACATCTACTAGGATGCTCATCCCAGTAAGGATGTGATTCGTTCAGCTTCCAAGCCTTTTCATCAGGCTTTCCTGGATGTAGAAAGGAGAAGCTCCTGCACCTGTTTGTCTGTGGGGTGTGGAGGGCTGCCTTGAGAGAGTGCCATCCAGCCCTCCCCACCCCCACCTCTCCCGTAAGCACTTTGGGGCATATTCCCCTAAAATACAGGAATATAGCCACCCAGTGCTTTCTCCCAGTGTTCCTGAACATACCTTCCAGGTCTGCCTGTCTGGGAATGTCTGTAGATATGAGCTTTTTTAAACAGCTCTGCCATTATTTTGGATGCTTGTAGAGGCATAAAAAGCAATTCTAGGGGAGAAAGGGAGCAATGACCACTTATTTATTGACTGCCTACAGAACATTAAACATTTTGTCTCAGTGAAGTCTCACAAAAACAATTTTAAAAATGTCTTGACTACCCACTACATAGGCAAGATAGTATAGTGGCACCTCCAAGAGAAAAAGCTCCTCTGGCATCTAGGTTCTGCCACTTACCAGCTGTGTGATTCTGGGCAAGTTATAGCTCTGTGCCTCAGTTTCCCCCACAGCAAAGAGAGAATACTGGTATCTACCTAATGGCATTTTAACATATGCTAATGAAGATTAACATATGTAAAATGCTTGAAACAGAGCCTGGCTCCATGTATGTGCTCTTGTCACAGTATGCAGTAAATCTACCTTATGGGCAGTATATTGTGTCCACTTTACAAATAAGGACACAGGGAGGCTTAGTGGACTTATGGAACTTGCCAGGGGACACACAGCTTGTCCAGGGCAGAGGGAAACGTGTGTGCATCTTCCAAGTGCTTCCCATCACCCACCAAAGCCAAAACATATTTTTACTACTGGGTTTCTCTCCCTCAAAGAGATTGCAGTGGACACACAGGAAGGGCTGAATAGGTGTTTCATCAAAAAATACTAGTGAAAATATTTGTCCTTCCAACTAAAACTATGTGAAAGGCAGGATGGTTTAGAAACATGGCTGGAGGGTCAGGGAAGTGTGTGTCTTCTTCGGGCTTGTGCAGGAAGCTGAAGGTAAGAAAACGTTCCAGGAGAACAAAGAATTTAGTCACAGGAACTGGTGATGGGAGGAGGGTGGAAGACAAAGAAGGGAATTTGGTTGGAAGCTAGAACATGGTTATCCCGGACTAAAATGAGAAGGGAAATGACAGGACTAGGATTTTTGGAGACTGTTTATCTGGGTGGTAGAGCCTGGGTGAGAGCAGAAGGAAGGAATGGGTCCAAAATGCAAGGGTAGGCAATAGTTCTGCCGGAGGCGAAGGGGGGCGGGGGGCGGGGGTCCGTGTAGCAGGGAGCCTTAGGAGTCTCTACTTCCTTCCACACTTTCCTTTCAGCTGCAAACTAAACTGAGAGCCTCAGGAGGATCAAACAAAAAGAATACAAAAGGGTTGGTAGGCTAGGGGTCCCACTTCTGGGAAGGAGCAGTAAGAGGGAACCAAGTGAACAGCTCAGTCCTGTGGTGGACAATGGAGCGGCCACGCTCTGCTCTGCTCTCCTGCTAGAGAAAGCCAGTGAGGCAAAGAACAAATCAAGTATCCACCTAAGTGAGATTTTTAGGCTGCATTTACATACACAATCGGATGAGGAAGGGGCTGAATTTTCTGGAAAATAATTTCCACTCTCCACCTATTTTTGCTGGATTGTTTTGCTGTGCTACACGATGGAGAGCTTTTAATTCAAAGTCTGAGGTCCTCTTTTCCTAAATGAGAGAGATTTTCCTTGGCCCCTCTCAGACCTGGGTACCAGGCTCTGAGGAAATCCCAGGGCAGTAGGAAGGAAGGATTGTTCGCCCTGTGGAATAAAACCGACCTGTGTAAGTGCTCACTGAAGGAAAGGCTAGCATGACCAAATTCAAAGTAAATTATGGCAGTATTTGCATTACAACATCACATCATTCGCTTTAGTGTTTCAACTCAGGATATAATTTAATTTGTATTTTTAAGAACAAATTAATTATAAAAAACAAATATGCTCTAATAAATTAAATTCCTTAAAGCACATATCCTTTGCGTTAAATATGGTTCATCTATTTTTCTCCTTTATAATGGGATACAATGGCTTTAAAATTCTTAAGACCAAACCCGATTGAGCCCTCCGCACGCTTGTGAAAAAGCAAGAACAAGGTGACCCGTGTTCTCCAGGGCACAAACTGCATCCCAGGAAGGGAAGGGAGGAGAGGGCAGACGAGGACCCGCAATATCACCGAGGGCTATCAGGACGTCCTGCTAATAAACGAGTTTTTCACTGTCCACACTATAATTGGTTTACAGCCTTTCTTGTTTGTTTATCCATAAGAGCTGCTGTTAAATGGCTCGGGAAGGCGCTCGCCTAATGGCTCAGTAACGCTCCGGGCCTGTGGGAGGCGAGAGCGGCGCAGGCGTCAGCGGGGATGCGGAGCGGAAACGCATTTCTCCTGTAATGGACTTGGCGCTTTTATGATACCAGGAGCTACATCCACAGAAGAAATATGACACACGACTTCGCTCAGTGGAGGGTTCTACGGGGTGAGGTCATATATGTATTATGTATAATATATATAATTGACCAATCCAAAGACCCTGTTAGCTTTGTCCCACTAAGTGATAATACTAAATGGCTGTTTGACCTTAGCTTCCTGGATCAATTCTTTAGGTAGCAAGCAGCAGCAAATGCTACTTGTGAAAGTGAGAACGTGCACCTTCGGCGCCCTGTCCCCTCCCCCACGTGCTCGTGCAGCCTGGGTTCCCGGGTTTTTTGCCCTTCAGCGCGGTGAGCGGGTTTGCTTTCTGCTGAGCGTCTCTTTTCTTTCTGCAGGGCAGAGCAAAAACATTAAATGAGAGCAAATGAAGCATCGAAATGGAGACCAATTTACAGAAACGTGCAATTAGCGAGAAGTGCAAAGTAAACACTCTAGGTCGAGGATGGCAGGTGAGGCCAACGGCGGAGGGGGGTGCTGCCTGCCAAATCTGGAGGAGGGGGTGACTGGCGAGGGGAGAAGATGGGAGGAAGAGAAGAAGGAAGAAGAGGGGAAAGGTGGCCGATCTTTGTCCCAAGCAGAACTCGCCACAGGCTCATAACCCCGTCGTCAAGTCAACCCGCCGCGATTTGGCAGATTATCTCCGAGGGTCAACACGCCGCGGCCAGGCAACCCCTCCGGCCCTGCGTTCCGGATCGATGTGGTCACTCGCGGCTTGGGTGATAGCGTCGGGTTCTCCGCGGCCGCCGCGAACAATAGACTCATTGAGGCAGGTGTGCAGAGATTAGGTTCGCGGGTCCCACGGCCTTTCAATCCCTCCCCCTACACTCCTGCCCCAGGATCGCAGGTGGCCCTTTTCCCTGAAGAAATCGTCGAAACTCCCCACCCTCCGGGCTTCCTGGTAGCTGCATGCGTTCCCAGGCTTGCGGGGACCAGTCGGTACCCAGCACACACCTCAACGCCGATTCTGAGACGACGCCAGCATCTAACAGAATTCTACAGAGAAGTCAAATCCCACCTTGGCTTTTTGCTTAGTGCATTCAATCCGTATTCATGGAAAGGAAAATATTTCCGCTAGGAGAAAAATATATTAAAATATACCTGTTCAAGGACTAGATGTAGTTTGTACTTTAGGAAAGTCAAATTGTAGTGATTTTTATTGTTGGCTCCTTGTGCTTCACAAGAGGGCAAGGGTTCCTTGAGCCCTCTTGCCTAGGCTTTCCTGCAAAGGTGTCTAGTTTCTCTAAAACCCCACGTTGCAGTTCAAGGAATATGTTCCTTTCTACAGGTGCCTGTCAGAGGCTGCCCAGGACGCCCAGGGCAAAATGGTCGGCGGCGTTGGTCAAGCTCAGTCTGGGAGTGGTAACCACTGAGACCCAGAGATAGCCCGGCCGCACCTTCGGGTCGGAGAAAGTATCTGTCTAAGTCAGGACCCCAGAGAGCCAAGAAGTTACACAACCAGTGTAAGCCAAAGGCTGACATTGTCATAAAACACACAGTACTTTTATTTCTTTTGTAAACACTGCCTACACCTAGCTCCCTGTCCTGCCTTCTTTCAATCGGACGAGAGAGTAGACACCGTCTGCAGCTGAGGGACTCCGCCGGGCCGGGATCGGCCAGAGAGCCCGCTTCTTTCCTCCTTGCCACATGAGAAAACCATTCGAGTCCCAATTTATCAAAATCAAAATGAGTAATGCCTAAAAATGTTTTCAAAATCAAAAGACACTGTGAATGCCTCAGAAGTTACAGTTTACTCTCCAGAACTGCCGCTGGATCTTTGTGTGTTAGTTCAGTAGTATCCTTGGTGGTGTGTACAAACTGCATTCATGAAATAGAATCAACTGTTTCCGCCCTGCAGAGCTAGAGTCTGCAAACTTTTTCTTTTTTACCATATTTCCCTAACAGTTAAAAAGAAAAAAAAGTTTAAATGTACAACCTCAATATGTACATTTATAGATTATTTGGCAAACATACAATGGATGGTTTAAAGTCTGATGAAACAGTTTCTATACATGAATAGTAGTTCTAAGATTTTCTTGCGCTCCCCACTTTGGAGAGCTCTACCAACTGCGCATACTGGTGTGTGCAGTAAACTCAGCTGAGAGAGAAAATCGAAACAAATGCGGGTGCTCGGGGGAACCTGGGCCTTGCTTCTTAAGGCAGTCAGTCAGGCCAATAATGGCCTCAGGCTGAGCCACGTGGGTCACAGCAGAGCCTATGGCCGGGCGGCCGGCCCGAGAATCCCCGCCAGCGGCGGGTGCCCTCTGCGAGCAGAGCAAAGCTGTCAAAGCGAACAGGCGTGGCGCCGGGAGTGGGAGAGCAGCTCAGATCCGAGTTTCTGGCTCCAACTCCCCTCTCGGGGTTCCCAAGCCCCAGCGGCAGCGATGAACGGCGAGGAGCAGTACTACGCGGCTACGCAGCTTTACAAGAACCCGTGCGCGTTCCAGCGGGGCCCGGCGCCTGAGTTCAGCGCCAGCCCCCCTGCGTGCCTGTACATGGGCCGCCAGCCCCCGCTGCCGCCGCCTCCATTCCCCAGTACCCTGGGCGCTCTGGAGCAAGGCAGCCCGCCGGACATCTCCCCATATGAGGTGCCCTCCCTTGCTGAGGACCCCACGGTGGCACACCTCCACCACCACCTCCCTGCTCAACTCGCGCTACCGCACCCACCCCCCGGGCCTTTCCCGGATGGAGCCGAACCAGGAGCCCTGGAGGAGCCCAGCCGCATCCAGCTGCCTTTCCCGTGGATGAAGTCTACCAAGGCTCATGTGTGGAAAGGCCAGTGGGCAGGTAAGTCTGGATCCCCACCCCTCTCTCCTCACCCTGTCTTGCCCGGCTGCCCCTGCCTCAGATCACTCTTAAGGATCTGTCTCATTTCGCGTTCCCGGCCCCTACGGATAACCCGGGGTCGGACTAAACTACACGGGGACCCAAGGAGGCCATCCCACACTGACTCGCTTTTCTGGTCCAATTTGGAGCGTCTCTGCCTCTCAGCTCTCCTCCTGGGAGCTTAAACCCCTTTTTCCCCTGTACGCTAAACTCTGGGAGCCACGCGCTCCCAGCGCCCCTCCCAGAGAACCAAGACTTGGCCGAGTTCAAGGCTTCGGAGCCTCGGAGCCTCGGATCCTCCTCCAGCTGGCGATCATCTCACCCCGGACTCCCAGGAGTTCGCATGGAAGAAATCTAGTAGGGTTCGAAGTACCTCTAAGCGGCAGGAGCACACCTTTGGAGTCTGGGCCCCTTTGCGCCTTGAGTCCGGCGGCTTCATTACAGCCCGGTGGCAGTCATGGGCACCCAGTACGTGCAGGGAAGCGGGGGTGTCTGGCCTCCAAGGGGCACCAGACAGGGGCGGAGGTAAGCTGGAGGCTCACCGCAAGGCCAGGGAAGGGCAGCTCACCTAAGAGCCAGGCAGCTGGGCCAGGCGTCTGCGATGCTAATTTCACTTTAGACCAAACAGAAGTGTGTGAAGGGGTCTCCTCAAGCTGCTTGCAGGAAGTCAGTTTGAGGAAGGAGATCCTCTTTCTGCACCGTGGGCCCAGGGAAGCGGAGCCCTGGGTCCCCTTGGCCCCGGGCGTAGGCGGGTAACAGAAGGTTTCCCCGAAGTGGAGGCGGAGAACAGAGCCCCCTCCCCCGCCCCCCGCCCTCCCGCAGTCCTTTTCCCCGCCCCGAGCTGGCTGCGATTTCCCACGCGGCCTATGCAGCCCCTGACACACAATGTTATCGCTTCCCTGCTGCAGCCACTTCTGGTCACACCTGCACTGCAAATAGTTGACTTTTCTTTCTTTCCAACTCGCAATCGGGAGTACGGGGAGAGGCTCGAGCTGGCGCCCCCCGACGATCCTCGGGATCTGTCTGGCCCTGCCTGGCCCTGACCCTGGCACAGCAAAGCAGGGCTTTGGGGGGACCAGGGCTCTCAGTGTCCCCGGGACTCACCTTTCCTACTTCGCTTTCTCGTGAAACTGATTGTGAGGACCCAACCGGTCCTAAGGCAGGACAGGGCCACCGCTCAGCCACAATCTTCCTTCCCCACCTCCTGCGAAACTCTGGCCCAAGGGGGTGGGTGCCAGATGTACGGACCGCTTCTGCGCACGTACCAGCCCGCGGGGCCCGGGCCTAAAGCCTCCGAGTCTCGCGGGAGGCAGGAGGGCAGCGTCCTTCGATCCGGGTGGAGGACCGTCAGCCAGTAGTTTTCTGCGGGGAGCTGCGGTCCCTCTCTAGGGCTCTCTTTCCGCAGAGCGCTGAGGACGCGCATTTCCGGCCTCCCGGGCCCTGCTGGCGGCTTCTTTAGCAAAAAGGCCAGGGAGGCCCTGAGGTGGGCTAAATTCCCTACCCTTCTCCCACAAGGGTGTTACCCCAGCTCCGGTGGAGCATGGACTCCAGCGGACCCATAAAGCCAGAAAGTAAAAGCTGAAGGAAAATCGGCCGCTTTGCCCAGGGGCAGGGAGGGACCCTGGAAAGGTGACATCCCCTGCCTGGAGCATCAGGGCTGGAGGGGTCTCTGCCAGCACCCTCTGGTTCATTGTAGGCTCAGCCTGCCAGTAAGGGGCCCAAACCCTCTCTCCTGGAAGCTGCTCGGGGGTCTTCCCCTGGAAAACTTTCCAAGGAGCCGCACTTCAAGCGTCTGTGAATCCACATAGTGGGGTTTCACATCCCTGGTGAGAAAAAAGTGACACAGGGGCTTTAATTCACAGTACAGATATGAATAATAACAACAGGGACTTCTGAAAAATTCGACCTAAGAAGTGAACTGTCTCAGCGACACCGGCCGATCTCCTCACCCAGCACCTTGCCACATTCCCAGTAACACCACCAGCAGCCTCCACCTTAACTTCCACCTCCACCTTCTGCCATCTCTCCAGAGCTTAGGTGCATTGAGGTAGCGGCTCCAGCACAGAAGCCTCTCACAGCACCTTGTTGAGGCCCACAGAAGAGGACCAGAGCCCCAGAGAGGTTGTGGGTTGAATTTAAGAAGCTTGGGGGGCCTTTTCAAATGTTCCTGCATGCTTCTTTCCCAGGCCAGGGAAGGCTTGGAAGTGTAAGATGCAGAGATGCCCTGCAGCGAGCAGACCTGCTTCCTGACTCAGGTCTGAGCCTCTGCCGTGTCTTCTAGGAGCCAACTTTTAGCCTGGGGGAAACCCAGGCAGGTTCCATTGTGTAATCAACCCTCCCCACCCCCCAACCCGAACACCAGCTTTTCAACTCCCTAAGGCCTAGCCAGCAGTCAGAGGAGAAATATTTCATGCCTCTCTGTCCAACACGAACAGACTTAGGGCTCATCCCAGAGTTTCAGTAAAACTTATCCCAACAGAGTCCACAACCCATGCAGTCAGTATATTGAACATAAGGAAAAACTTGGGACCTCAAGGAGCCAGGCGGCAAACACAGGTTGTGTGGCGCTAATCTGTAGGATCCAGCCGGCTGTTGCTTCTCCAAGTCTGGGCTTAGAGCTGGGAGCTCTTGACCCCACCACCACTACCCTCCTCCAATTCCCAGAGGGATTCAGGCCTTTTAACGTCCCCTCTGCCAGGATTTGGGACCTAGGCCACAGAGGCGCAGGCTGATAGTGACTTTCTTCTAGGCCTAGAATAGTTTCCTTTCTTTTTCAGGTCAGGGGCCCAGCCGAGGTTAAAATGAGAACAATTATAGAAAACGTGCTGGCTCTTGAGTTGGGGCCAATAACAATATAACTAAAGAGCGATATTATATGATCAGATATAACTATATATATATATAGTTATATTAGCTCAAGGTTTTTTAAACTGAGGCTTGCACCTATTAGTAGTGAAATCAATTTATTGGGTTGAGGCCTTTTTTTTAAAAAAAAAAGAAATGAAACAGTAAACAATAGGAAAAATTAAATAACGTCGTATATGGTAAAAGTTGATTTTTATGTCCTGAAATTTTTGTGTCAGCTATATATCTGTGTGAACTGGGTAGTGTTCTGAAATGTATTTCTTACTGTGGGTCATCTCCAGAAAGTGAGGGGTTTGTTTTTAGTTAGATATTAAAAACGTTTTATCGAATCTGCAGAATCAAGTAGGTTTAAATATGTATTATGTGCATTTTAATTAGCATCGTCATAAACACCAGTTACGAGAACACATTCAAGAACCTCTTGTAGATAGAGCCCTCCGCTGCGTCACTGAGAGCCTTGACCTCCCAGAAAAGGCAACCGAAGGCTGTGTGGGTCCACACTGGAGTAGGACGGGGGCTCGGCGGCGGAGCGGGCGGTTTCATAGGGTTGGGGATGAACTGTTGGGTTGCGTGGGCGAGAGCAGGGTAGGAGGAGCCAGGGGTTCAGGGGACCACACTCAGGCGATGTGTCTCCTGCAGGCAGTGCCTACTCTGCAGAACCCGAGGAGAACAAGCGGACGCGCACCGCCTACACACGCGCGCAGCTGCTGGAGCTGGAGAAGGAGTTCCTATTCAACAAATACATCTCTCGACCTCGCCGGGTGGAGCTGGCCGTCATGCTGAACTTGACGGAGAGACACATCAAGATCTGGTTCCAAAATCGCCGCATGAAATGGAAAAAAGAGGAGGACAAGAAGCGCGGCTGTGGGACAGCCGCCGGGGGTAGCGGGGACGCGGAGCCCGAGCAGGACTGCGCGGTAACCTCGGGCGAGGAGCTGCTGGCGCTGCCACCACCGCCGCCCCCCGGGGGAGCTGTGCCACCCGCTGTCCCTGTTGCTGCTCGAGAAGGCCGTCTGCCTCCAGGCCTTAGTGCCTCACCTCAGCCCTCCAGTGTCGCGCCCCTGCGGCCCCAGGAACCCCGGTGAAAGGTGGGGGCTCCTCCCTGCCAGAGGCTTTGACCACTCACAGAGGTGGGGGGAGCGGGCCTAGGACCCCAGGTGTGGACCACCAGCCCTGGCTGTTTGGTGGGACAGGTGCTGTGGCTCCCACCCCAGATGGGAGGGAAGAGGCAGCGCTCTCAGGTGCCTGTGCCAGTTGGGGTCGGTGGGGAAGCTGGCTGACCTTCCAGAAGAAGGGACCGTTTCTGTAGATCTGAGTCTTCTTTGGGTGACATCGTTGGATCGGCCACATCTGCCACTTGTTGTGCAGTTCCCAGCACTCCAGAACCGGGATGTCTTTAGAGAAACCAACTCTTCAAAAGACAGTAACAACTGCACTAACCGGAACATTCTCCAAACCATGGCAGGCCAGCTAAATGGAGTGCCGGTATATGCCCCAAAACAGAGCCATTTTGATTCAGGCTTCTGCCTAAACATTTAGAAATAATTGTAAGGAAATGTCAGAGGTTTCAAAGACCCAGTGAAATAGATGCCCCTGGACTTGAATAATTTCTCTCCCCCTCCTTCTCCTGCTTTCTTTTAAAATCCATTTAACACAGCCACATACTTCCCCGGCGCACATCCTTCCTTCAGCCTGCACCTCTTCCCTCTGAAGAAGAGATATTACAAGGGAAGCTGGGCGGCAGCAGCAGGGCCAGGGTGTAGGAGCAGAGCTCGAGTCCCTGTATACCCGCCCCCCACCGCCGGGTCAAACATTTCCAGAGATGGGCCTGGACCAAAAGGTGTGGGGAAGAAAGACAACCCTTGAGTGAGCTTTCTATTAAGGACATGGATTTAATTCCTGGTCTAGGGGCAGAGAGGCTGTATGGAAGGCAAGCAGGGCTACCCGGCCTACCTTGGAATCCAGTCCCAGAGCTGGTATGATTTCCACATCTTTAGAAATGATAAAAAATACATGTGGTTGAGGAGATTGGGAAACTGGTTATTTTTATTTAAAGTTGTGAAATTACTTAACAGTTCTTTACACACAGGTCTGTGGTTTCCAGATCAGTTTTGGTTTGAGGGTCTTGAGGGCCTTGAGTGCAGGTGATGTTTGTGGAAAATGTTGAATAAATATGGGTAACATGGAAAGAGGTGAAAGCTGATTCCTTTGCTTGGTATCCAATCTTTGTTGCAGTGCAATGATTCTACTGCATTTTAAAAATTAAAGCAGCATTTATCTTTTCTGTACTAATTAGGAAAGAGCCCATAATTAAGAAACAAACATTTGGGTTTGGGATTGGGGTTACATATTAGCATATGGATTCTCAGTTTTGTTTCGTTTTTAACTTGAGCCACTTCTCAAGATGGATTCCGTCAGTGAGATAGCCCTGAGGCGTGGGGTGGGATTGCAGCTGAGTAGGTCTGAACCAGCCAGAGGCTCAGGGAACTGCGAAGCTGCCTGGGCCACTGCTGGGTCTCCTCGTTCTTCCCCAAGAGGTAGTCTAGGAGAGGCTTTTTTCTTTGGCTCACCCACAGGAGTATTGCTTTGGACAAGTCCATGCCCCTGGATCCCTAGGTCCAGAGTGTCTTCTGCCAGGGACAAACAGGCCCTGACTCAGTGAGCTTTCAATCCCAGGGGCTACCCGCTCCTCCTCGCATCTCTCAGCATCTTAGCCCAGTTGTGCACTGGAATGCAACTCCACTACACTCCCACTCTGGGGGACTATCGGCTGGCTCCCAGGACTGGTCCTTAGTATTCTCTTTTGCAAAGAGACACGGTACTTGTTTTCATTTAGTAGTTGGTTTTTGCAGTTTGTTTTGTTTTTTTGTTTTTGTTTTTGAGAGAAATTGAATCATTCGCCCCTTGAAGGAAAAGAAATTCGATGGATCAGAAAAGGGAACTTTCTCATCAGTGAAACGAGCGGCAGGGAGCGGCCTTTGCCCAGCAGCCTCTCCACATCCCACACCCCCCTGGGCTCTGGAGTGCAAGATATGTGCCTTATCACCACCTCAGGTCCCTCTAATACTGGCCCATGACCCTGATACAATTATTCAACTTCTCTGTGCCTCAGTTTCCTCATCTGTCAAGTGGAGGTGAATTATACCGCATAGAGGTTTAAACAAAAGAACTCGCACTTGACTCAGTATCTAGAAAGTAGTCATCCCTCCACAACGTCACTATTGTTTAACGACCATCATTATTTTCTGAAGTGAGGAGGAGCTACTGCTGCAGAGATGGGGGGGCGGGGGTTCTGACACCTGAGCGGCTCTCTCCTTTGACAAATCCCCACATTGTCGCTGTTGATATGGTCCATATAACCATACTGAGCACTTCTTCCTAAAGAATCTCCTTTGATTTCCCACAGCGACCTTCCCCAGGTCGGCCTCTTATACAAGGGAAGCGGATGCTGAACAATGGGGAGGACCAGCTGGGGCTCAGCAGCAGTTGCCAGTGGAGACATGATTTGTCCTGGGGAGGGAAGGGGGCCAAACAGGTTTCCGGGGCTCCACACCAAGTCCGCTCTGCTCCGCTCCGGGGGCTCCAGTCCCAACATCGACCAATGCGTTGGCCGGGCCAGGGTGCGGCGCCTGCTGCCTCTCCCTGAGGATTCCAGGGTTCCCCACTCTTAGGAGGAGATGCAGTCTGTCGCCCAGGGATGGGAGGGCACGATGGGAGGGTGCGGATGCTGACTAGGACGAGGCGCCCGGCCTCAGCTTCCCAGCGCGGACCGCACCGCTAGGATTCTCTGAAGGCGCCCTCGGCTGCTCTCTGGGCTGCTGGTGCTTTCTCAGATTCTCTTCAGCTCCGGCCGGGCCTGCCACCCTGGACTTGAACGTCAGACCTCTTTACCTACGTGTGGCACATGATTCTCTAGTTTTCTCTTCCACAAAAAGGGCTCATAGCAAGGATGAAATTAGATGATGTCTTTGAAGAGTTTATTACGTGGCACGACGTAGTGAGCAGGGTAGGGCTGGTGAAGGGGAGGTGGCGTTGCCAGTAGAGGCCGGCCTTCCAGGGAGACCGAGGCGGGCAGCGGAGAGCGAAGCCCTGCAGGCCAAATGGTCCTCGAAGAGAGGGAGAAAGAGGAAGGAGCTCCTGCTGGGAGAGTCACTCAAGAAACAGAGGACTTTGTCCCGAGCACTCAGGTCACAGCCTCTAGGTCACTGCTCACGGGGCGACTGACATGGGGTTCGACATGTGAGTCCCTAACTTGGTGTAACCACCCTCACCCAACTGGCGAATGGGCCGGCTCTGTGGGCCCGACGGGGCCGAGCGCTTGGGGCTCTAAGCCCGAGCCCCACACAGAGCCCAGCCTCCTGAGGGAAGGAGGAGGCCGGAAAACCAGCCAGCCAGGCCTTGGGAAGGGCCCCTTTCTGCCAATCAGGTGATTTTCTCCGGGTCCAAGAACTGCAGAGCTGACACACCGCCTCCCTTCTTCAAGCTGACAGCACTCCTCTCGAGCAAGAAGGGCACCGGAGGCCTCCCAGACAGCGGAGGAAGAGCAGGGTTCCCGCAAGGCTGAGCGCAGTTCCCAGCGCAAAGTACGCGCTGCTTGGCCTGTGCAGACCAGGATCCCGGGACCCGCGAGCTCGCATACCGGGCGAGGAAGTCCAGGGGCGCGCCCGTCTACACCTTCTTCCTCGAGAATTCTCAGAATTGAAGCCACAAGCCCCACCATTCCTTCCCAAATATTTGGCAGGAAGTGAGTTATGTTCCTCGAATGCCACCGGGTGCTTAGAAAGATGGGGCAGGCACTGGCTGTGCTTCAAGACGAGCCCCAGCCCTCGGCGCGTTCGCAAAAGCTGCTGGTCTCAGGATCTGGAGAATCTTGCAAGGGTTCCCCACCACTCTCGCCGTCCACAGAAGCCACTGAGACATGGAGAGCTGAGGTCGGATCCCCCGTGAGACTGGCACTTGCAGGCGGGCCCCTGGGCTGTGGAACTCCTTGGAGGTAGGTAGTATCGCATGGTGCGGCGCCAGAAATCGGGTACAGCAAACAAAATCTCCTTTTCTTCTGCGATGTATTTCTTTCTGTAGTTGGCTAAAGAATTTCTCAGCTTAAAAGGTAATTTATGCGTTGTAATAATATCTGAGAGCTGATGATGATTTCAGGTCCTGCCTATCGTTTGTTGTTGTTGTTGTTGTTTGTTTTGTTTAAACAGGTTTGATGCTTGTGATTCACGTGCCCCTTTCTGACCGGAGCCTGAATGGATTCAGCAGCATGAATTGGGCTCCTACTCTGTGCCAGGAACCTCTGGAAGTCGTGCAGTGCTCGCTGGGGAAGTGCTTATAATTTTTAAAAGCCGGGTCTTGGAGATTGGATAGACTGTCAATGAATTTACCAGAGTAAATAGTAGTCACCCAGGTTCCCCAGATTTCTCCTTTCGAACAACAAAGGCTGTTTTGATTTCCCAAAATAATTTTGGCCTTCTTGTCTAGCACTGTAAACCTCTCCATATCCTCTCTTTCAACTAATTCTGTTTAATGCATTTAAGTTTGGATGAAATCTAAGTCTTACATTGTCCTTTCAAGTTGGTGAAATCAACCTGTTCTTATATTCCCTCATTTATCCTCCTTCCCTTCCTCCCTAGGCCTGTGTGTCTAGATGTATGGTGTGTATCCTTGGGGTGTTAGGGTGAGTGTCTCTCTGTGTCACTATGCCTGTGGGGCTTATGTGTGTTCGTGTTCATGGTTTAAGGTGTGTCTTATGTGGGCTGCAATAGTGACAATGATCAGTGTGTGTCTAGGGACCAGGGACATGTTCCTATATACTCTTTTTTGTCCACCAGAACGGCCATGTAATGACATTGCTGCTGATACAAACTGTCTACTCAGGTCTCAATTCTTTGTGTTGACACAATAGTTAAAGGCAGGAAAAGCTGTCTTTAGAAAACATGGGTGAGAACTTTCGTAGAAGCTGACTGATTGCTAAAGCATTGCATGATTACAAAATGAATTTCATTTTTTTTTATTTCTAGGAAAAATAGTTTGAAACTAAGTTCTTTAATGTCAACAGTGTCACCTAGAAACCCTCTTGAAGAAG